GTTTTGATTTTGAGCAGCAAATTTGGAGTTACATATTGGTGCTCACCAGGAATGCATAGGCAAAATTGCACAAATTTTCACTTGAAAGAATAGTGGCGATCTTGGGATTTTTTTCTGTTCAATTTTCAAACTGTGTAAATTTAATACACTTCATCTTCAGCATGTTTAGTGCCACTTTTGTAAGTAACCAAGCCCCCGTCCAGGCCACGCCCCCGTCCAGGCCACGCCCCTTCCGCTTTTTTCATCACTCGCCATTGCCATGTATGTACGATTGACGTCAGAGTAAAACCCGTCAATGGCTGCCATTCTATTAATTGAAAATAAATAGCCTACTGCCCTCTCATTATACGGTGTTTGAATTAATTAACCAACCAACAGAATGTCTTTTACAACGAACATACAACATCTGGGTATCCCACCAACCTATCTGTATTGCAAAACTTAAGAGTCTGTTGCTAAAAACTTAACCAAGGCCTAATTTACTAAACAGGCGAAGCCACCTAGCTTACATCGTGACACACTTTATCCGACAGTTTTGGAAATGTACATTTACTAATAGATAAAATAAATGTAATCACAAAAGGAGGGTGTTTTACATACCCACGTTTCCCGAAAGGGAGGCTGGCTAAAACGATTTGCCCCACGTGATTTTCCTAGTTTCATCTCTTTTTGTTCAAGCACAACTTCCTGCTTTTTACACGTTTAAAACGTATTATTTGATAAACACATTATAAATTAATTATAATATATTTTTCTCGGCGCATCGTGAAGGACGAAAGTGCCGAACGCGCCATGATATAAGCTGAATGCTTTTCGGCTGCTTTGCTGCACGCCTCAAAGCCGAGAAATTCTCTGAGGTCTCCAACTAATGACGTTTTTTTTTAACGCCACATTTAAAGAAGCAGGAGGCTGAGAGTCTAAAGAGGCAAATAAATGCACTCACTTCTCACATATTCTTCCAAATTGATGTCACTCCTTTTTGAAATCATTAAAAACAAAATAAGGTACAGTACTTCCGCGTTTTCACGACAAATACAATTCTAGAGAGCTTCCACTATTGGTAGAAATGTTTCACCACACTTTTTTCATTTACCAGAAAAATTAGAATCAAGATCACGATCCATTTTCATGCTTCGTTTACCATTTAACTATGTGAGTAGCTAAGGTCTGTTGAATTAAGCGTCGTCCCAGTTGTTAAAATGTAATGAGCATGAGAACTCTTTGAACCAAATGGATCAAACAACTGCTGTGCTCCCGGTTCGATAACAGCAAGCTGTGCAAAAAGTATACATAAACCAGTTAACGGTGTACGCTCCAGTGGCGCGGCCGTCTTGCGCGTTCCAGTGAATTGATGTGAGTTTCTATCGTTGACCACTAGATGTCACCTTTTGTCAAGAAAATTTCTGAGATGGCTGAGAATGCACGTGAATGCCGAGATGCGTTCAGAAGAATTGACATGGAAACTTGGACTACGAATAAGTTTTGGTGACATTATATTGCATCATATGATACTGGTTTGGACATTGAAGGCTGTTATTCCAAACCCCAGAGACAAAGCATTAAAAGTACTGCATTTTGAGGCAATGTCAGTCCGTCATTGTTTTTCCATTCAGAATCAAGATCTCTTTATTGTTCTAATTAAAGTTACGGCAAGGGCACATCGACAAAGACATGGACAATTACGAAATAATATGACAAATATTTTTTCCTTCGGGGAAAAATACATCCACGCATCCAATTTCCAATTCGCTTTATCCTCACAAGGGTCGAGGGCATGCCGAAGCCTATCCCAGCTGTCTTCGGGGCAATCGGTGGGCTCCACCCTGAGCTGGTTGCCAGCCAATCACAGGGCACATATAGACAAACAACCATTCACACTCACAGTCACACCAAGGAACATATAGAGCACAGGTGTCAAACTCAAGACCCGGGACGAGATCCGGCCGACCACGTCATTTTATGTGGCCCACGAAAGGCAACCATGTGTGTCAACTTGCATGACCCTTGCTAAAATCTTTCAATATTTACATGTCATGTCTTTGTTTACCGATAGTTGCTTGTTATTGCAATACTAGGGTAGCCTATACTACCTGAGACAAATTCCTTGCGTGTTTTACATACTTGGCCAATAAAGGTGATTCTGATTCTGATTGTGACTTCATATTTGCGTCATGCTTTGAGCCCAAAGTGGAAGATCGGCATCGTAAATAAATCCTTGAGCCAGGTAAAAAGACTCAACGGTTTATTTGTAAATAACAGATTGACTTGCATACTCAAGTCCTATTCTCTTTGTTTTCCCCTTGTGCCTCAATAATGTCAAGAGACATCAGAGGTCATTTGAAATTTAATGAGGCAGCAAGCAGAAAACAAAAGGGGAGAAATACCGAGATGAATCCAATCACTATATTTTCAGTTTAAGTGTCCTCTTCAGAAAGAACAGCAGGTGTTCCCCTTACTTGGCAGTGTTGACCTCGTGGGGGGGCTGTGACATCATTAGGATGATATCACTGCTTTATATCAGATCTCTAAAGTTTTTTGTGACCCCTATCACTTAAAGCACATCAGATCCTCTAAGTAGAAGGGTGAAAGGTCATGGAGTTTGCAATTAGGGAGGAAAAAAAAACATGTAAATGTTTAGGCTGACTGTCATGAATGATACAAATGGGATTTATTATATGTGGAACGCCCCCATTCTTGTCCGGTTGTGTGATGATCAATTCGTAATGTATTGAAAAGACTGCTCTATTTATGCACAGTGCATTTTTGTCTATGACAATTGCTCAAGCAAATATTTTGAGCTCTCTGTGATAATCAATGTACCGGTAATATAAATCTCTAAAAGCAAGCAGGAGTGCTTCACTGTTCTATTTTAACAACAACAACAAATCGTTCACATCGTCTTTCGAGAGGACCAGAAGAAGACCATGTTCTCATTCTGGTAATGGCTAACTTTGTTTTCAGTCTTGTGTATGTGAACGCAAATGTTGAGTAGCTTGACACATTGATAGCAATGACAATTTTTTAAACACCCCAATGGGGGTAGGAGATATCTTTTCATCACGCCAAAGTACAGCGAGCGTAAATTGGTGACGTGCATGGAACAAGATTAAATGAACCCAATAACTGACCCTGACATACCTTTGTACATTGGTAGTACTAGTGACGGTGGTGGAAGAGGATCAGAGGGACATGCAAAAGAGAAAGGGAGCTGCAAAAGCAATTCGGTGAAAAGCAAGGAAATGTCAAGTCAAGCCGACCCCTCTTTGTATTCAGAGAAACAGGCAGCAAGGTATGCACAACCTCCAATTCGAACAAGCACTTTTTGGGGGCATACTGCTTGGATTTTCCCATCTGTACCCACTTTATAGGTAGTTGGCAATTTCACATAAAAGTGTTACATTAGGCAACTTATCAAAAACTTGCTAACTTGACTTATGAATTTAATTTGTTCCGTGACCAAGCCCAAAAGTCATTCAAATTTTATATTCCCCTGATAATAAATCGGTTTTCACCATTGAAATGAATTGGAAAATCATGCGCCACAAGATATGGGGCACAGCTGAGATGATCATAAAGCATCAACACCACGCATCTTGCATGTACACATCATGAACCAATGTGATATAAATGACTAGTCAGTACAATATTCCACACACACTTACACATGCGTGGCCTATTGAGCAATGTCTGTCGCCGACGTTGGCGATGGACTAAGAAATTGGGTCGTTTTCCGCTGGCTGGGTGTGGATTTGAAGCAAATGTTGGTTTAATTGTTTTGACAGAGCAGATTGGGTTGAAGATTGGATCTGAGTGGTCTGAGAAGCCAAAGCCGATTGCTGTTTTGCACACAATTTTGTTGTGTTCTGAAGTCGATTGAATGCAACATTTTGAGTAAATGTTGGTATTGGTAGCTGACCAAATGATTGGCACGTCTGTGTCACAGTTCTGAGGTTACGGGCTCAAATTACTGCTGTGGGCTTCCTAATGTGGGGTTTCTACAGCGGATTCCGCACACAAACCAGAAACATACATTCGGTGCATTGAACACTCATTTGTTCATAGGTTTGAATGGTGCTTTGTTGATATGTATTCAATCCACGATGAGTCCCACATCTCACCCAATGTCAGCTAGGACAGTCTCCAAGCTCACCCACGACCCAAATGAAATGACGCGTGGAACGGATCTTACCGCTTGACTTTCATCATGGCGTTTGCCTCGTGTTTCCTGAGCAGACCACTGAGGATATCGCCAGTGTCACAGCGGCTCTCCATTGCGGACAAACCTGAAGAGCAGGCCGCAGAGAAGATTTCACTCCTGGAAGTACTTAGCAAGGCGCATTCCGCCAGAGTCGTTCCGAGCGGCCGAAATCTCACTGTGAACGATGACATCACTTTAAGTGACGATGAAGGAAGGTAGATATGCAGCATCTCCTTGGTGGCCTACTTAGGTAAACCGATATACCTTTCTGACAATAACTCTCTGTTTGTTGGTGACAGGCCGCAACCCAAACAAAAGCTGAATAAACAGGTAACCAATAGAGTGAAATGGGTTTTCACGGAATCTGTCATCGATCTTAAAATAGAATTTCAAGACACTTTGCAGTCTGGAAAGTGTCAATTCAGATAGCATGTTTTGTTCACACCTTCAGTACATTGACGAAATGGGGATCTCTGAAGAACTTAATGAGATCACGTCTTCAACAGATGCGATCCTGCATGAAGGTGAGCTTTAGCCCTCTGAATTTGAACTTGACACCTCCAAGCTGGTTGTAACACCAGACAATATGAAACTATTCGAATATCTATGCATGAACCTGGTTTCTAGTCTGTCGACTTCCTCATGCTATCATTGGTTTATTTCCACCAGATCACCAATTTAGGGCCAAGCTGGATGATATTCTGAGGCCGAAAGACCATCATGGCTGTGCCGAAAAGGTGACCAAACTGAAAGAGGTGAAGCTGCAGTCGGAGGAGATGAAAGACGGTCAATGTGTGGAGCACAAACGCGTGCAAAAGGAAAGTGAACTCACAAACCTCAGGTAAGACCTTTTTTCTTGAAGCACTCGTCTCTTACAAGGTCTTTGGGCTGTGTCGAGCCTGTGTTTTTTTTTTTTTTTTTTTTTGGTCAACATCAACAGATTATCGTTGAAACAACAGCAGGAAGATTGCCTGAATACCATCAAGATGGCCCAACTCAACATTCGTGAGGTGAGGAAGAACGGTGGCAGTGATTTTGGATCCGTACGGCGAATTGTTCAAACGCTGTTGTGGATGTGGAAATGATCTGACCTTTTGCCCTTGGGGCTTGCATTTCCTGTGATCCCAGCTTGAAGAGGGACTCCGGCAGGCCCACATGCAGTTGTCTCAGGAGCGTTGCACAAATGCAGAGCTGCAGCAAAAACTCAAGAGTCAGGACTGCAAGCAACAGACCATGGAAGAGGACTACAAGAGAAGCAAACATCATGCGGTATTTCTCAACCCTTTAAGAGCGTTGGCATTATGGTGCTGCAATTTGAATATTGAAGTCCAGATCTATCAAAATCTAGTATTTATTTAAATCCAAGGTCAAATTTGATGGGCATAGTTTTGAATAGGACGGCCCGGTGGTCGCTCTCATTTGAGATGAAAAAAAAAAATAGTACCTTAGAGATGGATGACCCCATCCCAATCCATCCGGAGGCAGTTGCAAATTATTTAGATGACTCCAGGCCTCTTGTGTTGCCATATCTACCTCAATAACATTTCCTCCCATTCATTGAACGGGTTCCGGCTCCTTTCTATTGGTGGGATGTGAAAAAAAGACAAAAATGTCCGATATCGTACAAGAATAATTGTTCGAACGCTGTTGCGGATTTGGAAATGAATCGACTTTTGCCCTTGCGGCTTTTGTGTTTCATGTACCGCAGCTTGATGTGGACCTCCAACAGGCCCACGCGCAGTTGTCTCAGGAACGCTGCACAAATGCGCAGCTGCAGCAAAAACGAAAGAGTCACGACTGCAAGGAACAGATGATGGAAGAGGACTACAAGAGAACCAAGCATAATGATGCAAGTCTCAATCATTTTAGAACGTTGGCAATTTGTTGCTGCTCTGGAGCTGTTTGAATATTGCTGATCAGATCCACAAAAATCTCTTTTTTTTTTTCTTTTAATTTCCCATGGAACTTATCCCAACAATATTTCAACCCTAACTCGCCACCCTTCATCTTCCAGGAGCATCTGAGAACTGATCTTGAGGTGGCCCAGGCGCACAGCAGCACCAAACAAAAGGACCTCATTGAAGAGAATGAAGGCCTCAATGAGCAGCTTGGAGATATTCGCCAAGATCTCCGACCGACCAGTGACCACCAGGCCCAAAGTGTCTTGGAATGGAACAATATGATTGCGGGATTGAAGTGCGAAGTGACGCTAGCGAATGTCCGACTGGCAGAGGCTGAGCAGCTTCGGTTGGAAATGGAGAAGGCTCTGCTCCAAGAGAAGGAGGAACAGCAGCGACTTAGAAAGAAGCTTGCAAGTTAGTAGCGGTGGGATTGTTGGATGTTTTCTTTTGCCATATGATTTTAACATATACCACGGCAAACTAGCTGTTCGCACCTTCGCCTCACAGTGACAGGCTCTGCGTTCGAATTCCAACTCAGGCCACCCCGTGTGGCGCTTGCGTATTTTCTACATGCTTGTGTGAGTTTTCTCCGGGCACTCCGGCTCACTCCCACATTCCCAAAACATGCTTGTTAGGTTCATTGAAGACTAAATTATCCACTGGCGTGAATGGGAGTGTGAGTGGTTGTTTTGATGTGCCCTGCCCTTAACTGGCGACCAGTGCAGGTGTGTAGCCCGACTTGTGGCTCTGTAAGATGTTATTTGGATTTTTAAGGCCATTACTAATTCCTTTGATGCCTTTCATACAGGTGTCTTTGCCATGATGAAAGCTCACCGATAATTCAGTTGTAAAAGTGTTGACTGACTTGACGAGTCCTAATTCAATGATCTCTCCAGTTGAGAAGGCCAATCAACAAGAGGCATTGACCAATCTGACCCGTAAGCTCTCCAAGGCGAAGGCATATGGCAACTCAATGGAGAACGAGGTACCTCGAGTGCAGTGCCAAGTCTGATGATCGCAGAACCACATGAGCAAAAATTATATATTTTTTAATTGAGTGCTCAGTGCTTGGTTCCAAGGGCTCCAATACGACACAATGGAGTAGACCACGTCATTCAACAATCTCATGCGTGCAAAGAATGAACTATCTATTATTTTACAGCACAATGCACTGAGTTTTGTTTCAAGGAAAACTATTATTTTACAGCACAATGCACTGAGTTTTGTTTTAAAGCACATATCATTTGGACCCGGTTTGCACCAAGTTTATTTTTGGGGTCACGTCACATTCGTGGACCATACGTTCTGAGAACCACCCGTATACAATTCAAACTACGAGTAAAAGTTCAAGTCGTTTTGTACGTGTCAAATAATTAATACAAGGATTGGGGGGAAAAAAGGCCTTTGCTAAAAATGTCTCTCCTTTGTCATTTAGCTGCTGGAAAGAGAAGCCGAATACATCCAAGCTATGAAAGAAATGAAGGCGCAAGCAAGTCTTTTGGAGGAAAGAAAAAAAGAGCTGATCATTGCGTCGCAGAAACAGAATGAATCTCAGGCCGCAGTGGCCCAGGAGGCTGCGCCGGGGTAAACACAACAATACAGGACCCTGTTTTCACTTATCTAGCAAGTTATCGATCAAAAAAATGAACATGTGTGTATGTTTTGTTTTGTTTTTTTTTTTACCCAATACGTCGCATCATGTCACTGTGTGCCACATGAGACTGGAACTTGACAACTTCAGGATGGAGGCTTGCGCAAAGCAACATGCCAACACATTTGATGCACTTCAGACGGAGGCTCAAGAAGATGCAAGGGTGAGTGCTGCATGTGTGGTTCGAGCCGTTCCTGTCTCACAGCTATTATCATACTTTTATTATTATTTTTTGCCAGAATTGGCACCTTTGAAATGGCACACAACAAACTGACAATTTTCACGAGGTTCCGTTGGCAAAACGGAGGTCTCATGACATCATGCGTTATCGAAGTTTTGGTTTTCAAGTTTGGTTTGACTTTTGAGAAGTGTTTCTAAAGTTTTGGTTTTCAAGTTTGGTTTGACTTTTGAGAACTGTACCGTTTTGATCCAACTTTCAACTTGTTGACTTGCTGTGCGGTTGCTGCCGCCAATACCCCGATGCAGTCTTTGGAGTGGAAATGATCAACCAATTATGTTTGAAAAATCTCATCTCCGGTGAACCAGACAATTAAATAGTCCAATATTCATTTCTGTAATGAATTTGTTGGCAACAGATGGCAAACCAAACAAATGCTGACTAAAAAGGTAACCAATAAGTGAAATGAATGTTTAGAAAATCTGCCATCTGCTTTGAAAGTGAAATTCAACAGTTTGAATTTGGCTACCATGTTTTGTTTTGTTCACACATGCAGCACTTCGACAACACGGAGATCTGTCAAGAGATATCAGCTGAAGATGTGCCCCGCCCCACACATCGCGAAACTTCCTTGACTCCTTCAAACCTGAACTCATCACATTCAGGTAATAATGTTGGTTGCACTGCCAAACAATGTGCACATTATCTAAGCCTGCCTTTCGACTTCCTCAAGTAGTTGGTTTTTAGTCGCCAAAACACCCGTTTAAGGTTAAGCTGGAGGAAATTGTAAGTCAACAAAAGTGAGCCAAGTGAAACAGTTGAAGGCAGAGTTGGAAGAACAAAACGGAGGAGATGCTCAATGTGCCATGGAGCGCATTCGTATTGCAAACGGAAACCGAAATGGAAGATCAAAGTTCACGGGCATTATTTTATGGCGTTGCCTTTGAGACATCAGCGATGGCAGATTTCTCTTGATGTTTCGATGACATGATGGACCAATGAGGGAATATTTGCAAATAAAACAACGTCCATCAGTTTGAGTGTGAACCAAGTTTGGGCAATTTTTGTCAACCGACGCAACTTGTTGCAAATCGACAGAGGCGCTCTGCGCCATTTGGGCGTCAACGCAGCTGACTCCAGTTGTGTCCAATCAAAATTGGAAATGTTAAGTTTCCTTGGGAGGAAGTCAAAGCTTTCGCGAATGATTCCTCCCACGACACGCTGAGAACCGCTGCGGTTCAATGACATCAGACCGAGAGTAAACTGGCTGAGCTCCGCTCACTCATATTTGAAGGTAAACATATTGAAAATCGTTGGATTACTTACAAACAGGGCGGCCGGGTGGTCGACTTGTTAGCATGTCGGCCTCACAGTGCAGCGGTGCGGGGTTCGATTCCAGCTCCGGCCTCCCTGTGTGGAGTTTGCATGTTCTCCCCGTGCCTGCGTGGGTTTTCTCCGGGTACTCCGGTTTGCTCCCACATTCCAAAAACATGCACGGCAGGCCGATTGAACACTCTAAATTGTCCCTTGGGATGATTGTGAGCACGGATGGTTGTTCGGCTGTGTGTGCCCTGCGATTGATTTGGCTGGCAACCGGTTCAGGGGGTCCCCTGCCTACTGCCCGAAGACAGCTGGGATAGGCTCCAGCAACCCCCCGCGACCCTTGTGAGGATGAAATGGATTGGAAAATGTATGGATGGATGGATTACACAAACACTCAACCAGTACGTGGACAAGAGACCCATGATGACCCGTGTGTAGACTTTATTGGCACATCGTAAGAGTGACAAAGTTGGCAGATGTCTTCGCTGATGTACAGTATTTCATTGCGCAACGTGTGCTTGTCCGCAGAGCCCCCACGTCCGTTGGCAGGGGATGTAGAGGTCGATGATGATGACGATTACATATGGAGTGATGGAAGCTGTGAGGCGATAGCAGATGGCGGCAGGGCACCCGACCAGCAGCCGGCCGGCCGCCAGCGGAGGGAATGGCAGCGGGAGAGCGACCTGTTCCTGGATCTGCAGCGATGTGGGTTTCAGATGCTGGAGCGGGAGCTCAGCACTCTGAACACCCGCCTCCAGAGCCTCCAGATTTGCGCTCTCCCGCTGCTCACTTCCATCGACGACAACCTTCGGCAGATTGCGCAGTCACCGCCGAGCCCGGTCCGGTCCAGGTGGACTCTGAGAAGAAGATGGGGCAGGTCAGGTGGTGAGGGGAGGAGAACGACCGGAGACATGGATAGTCTAATTCCTGATGAATAATAAAAGAAACGTACTTTTATCCTCACATGTTGATTCATTGGTCAAGTGCGCCGCGAGGCGCCTCTCTCGTCCCGCTCTGCCGCTCTCCACAGTGATGCGGCGCTGCCAGTTCATCCTCTCTCTGTCTTAACTCCTCGTCTGAGACGGCAAATTAGCATCCATGGCAAATAGCGATGTTGTGTGGAACAGTGAGCTACAAAGAACGCACCGACACTCGGCGGGCTGCATTGGAATGTTCCACCGGAGCGATCCAGACATCGAAAGTGAACACACTGCCTTATAGTGAATGCTCGACCCCCCCCCCCCCCCTAAAAAAAAAAAAAAAACAAAACAGACCAAACGATTTTCACTGTGATTTTA